AATGAATGTTTGAATTCAATAGCTGCCATAATGTCCAAATTTTTTTTCAGAGAAGGTGACCAAGAACTTGGATAAAGTTAGATGACTGAAAATAAAAACTGTACCACATGAACTGCATCCTCTAAAACAAATCTCAAATACCTCAAGATTGCAATATGAATCTCAACAAAAAAAGATCATTGCAGATTTTGAATCTACACAGATCATTCTAATATTTTTCCAACACTTAACATTTACCCTCAAAAATAGAAGATTCAGCATGAAAAATAAGTTTTGCTGAGTCATAGAAAACTGTAAAATTCTTCATCCACCATTAAGTCTTACAAATTTTATTTTGAAGATATGTTTTCAGAGATTTCAAAATTCTGATGTGTTTCTTCATATGGTGCTTACAATATGCAACCCACTTATATTTATGCTTTAATATATATTAAGGTATGTTACATTTAACACACTTTGTATTCCAATCTCATACAATTTTTCTTCAACAGAAAAACAATGCTCACTTAATCATCTTACATATGAACAGTGAATTACTCTTACTTCAATTAAGTGATCTGAATGTTGCACTGATAAGCTATAATCTCAAACACCCCAGTTAAAAACAATTTATTACATTAAAAATTCCGAACATCTCATCAGAGCCTAGAAAGTCCAAGTGAAATTACATGGCATGAAGAGAACACTGGGAAACTGTAGCCATAACACAAAGACGACGAGTGAAGCATACATAGCTGGGGATAAACACATGAAGACATCAGAAAACTAAAAATAATTAGAAAATAAAAACAGGCCAGGCACAGTGGCTGATGCCTGTAATCCCAGTACTTTTGGAGGCCGAGGTGGGTAGATCACGAGGTCAAGAGATTGAGACCATCCTGGCCAACATGGTGAAACCCTGCCTCTGCTAAAACCACAAAAATTAGCTGGGCATGGTAGTGTGCACTTGTAGTCCCAGCTACTTGGGAGGCTGAGGCAGGAGAATCGCTTGAACCCGGGAGGTGGAGATTGCAGTGAGCCAAGATCGTCCCATTGCACTTCAGCCTGGCGACCAAGTGAGACTCCATCTCAAAAAAATATATCTATCTATCTATCTATATGGAAAATGAAATGTTCCAATAAAATACAACTTTATACACATTGTGAAATTACATCTAAAAAGTATTTTCTGTGCACTAATTTTTTTAAAAAAATTCTTATAATTTCTGACCAGCTCACATACTTTATGAAGTTTTTAAAAAAAAGAATCAGAAACAAGAAAAGTATACCTCTAGCATGAGCACCACATAAAAACAGGCACTTTTCATGGGGAGATTCTCAACAATGATCCATTAGAATGTACAGTAATTACGTAAAAATAAAATATAGATTTTAATTCAGCATGTTTTAGGTTTCTAGATTTCTAGTAAATTATCCAGAGTATTAATAGAAACTTCTTTGTTCCAATATTGCTATTTTCTTTGGAAAATAGGTACAAACTCTCATGCAAACACAATTGCTTGCTTCATAATTTTCTTACACCCAAGGTTTATCTTTAGAGCACATTTATATATTTAACTCCATGTAAATTAAAACTAGAAGTCTGTATGTTTGCAGAACATGATGCATGTTCAAAGATAAATAGGAAACATTTTTGAAAACCATTCAGGACTCAGGAATGTATGAATAATTATATTCTGATATAACTATTACAATCATAAAATGACCTGTAGTAGAAAAAATTGTACGTTTGAAAATAATTGAAGTGTATAATTAGATTGTAGGTAATATAAAAGATAAATGCTGGAGAAACCCCATCTCTACTAAAAATACAAAATTAGCCAGGCATGGTGGCACATGCCTATGATCCCAGCTACTCGGGAGGCTGATTTAGGAGAATTGCTTGAACCTGGGAGGCGGAGATTGCAGTGAGCCAAGATTGTGCCATTGCAATCCGGCCTGGGCAACGAGAGCGAAACTTTGTCTCAAAAAGAAAAAAAAAAAGCTTAAGACAATGAATAACTCGTTTACTCTAATATCATTATTACATATTGTATGCCTGTATCAAAATAACCCATATACACCATAAATATATACTCACACTATGTAGCCACAAAAAATTTTTAAAAATTTAAATAAGAATAAAAATGCAACATGGGAACAATATTCATTTTACTTGCTGTTTAAAGCCATTGGAAAAAGAGACAGAAATGTCATTCAGCTATGTTATCAGATAGTACATTGTTAGCATCTCTTACCTACACCTTTCAGTAAGGTGGATAGGTGAAAGTTGCTGGCATAATACATCATTCAAGGCACAATAACTTCTACACATTAACAATTTTATTTAAAAAACTAAGGCCGGGTGCGATGGCTCATGATTGCAATCCCAGCACGTTGGGAAACTGAGGTGGGTGGATCACAAGGTCAAGAGCTCAAGACCAGCCTGGTGAATATGCTGAAACCCGATCTCTACTAAAAATACAAAAATAAGCAGGGCGTGGTGGTGTACACCTGTAATCCCAGCTACTCGGAAGGCTGAGGCAAGAGAATCACTTGAACCTGGGAGGTGGAGGTTGCAGTGAGCCAAGATCATGCCACTGCACTCCAACCTGGGCAATAAGTGAGACTCTGTCTCGAAAAAAAAATTAAGTTCACACATGATCTTAAAAGAGAATTTTAAAATTTACAGCATTTTATTAATTTATTACATAAATGTACAATTGGTAAAACAATTTACTACTAAAATTCAGATTGTTTCTCACTATAATGCAAAATGTTACTCTGAACACCTACCTCATGCATATCACTCTAAGTCAACCACAAAAAGCCTCACTGCTTAGATTTTCCTCAGGCATCTTTCATTTCTGTTCTTTCTCTTTCATTTTCATGTAAAAGTTCATGAATACTGCCCACTTAATGAAATTTCTAATATCTGATGCAGCAATAATTCATCACACACTTTCACATAAATGAGAACGTTGAAATACTATAATTTTGGATTTGAATTATTTGTTTTTCAAAACAAATAATTTTTTATTTTTTATTTCAAAAAATCTATACTTTTTTTCAATTAAAAAAATACTTTGAATGAAATGTCTTCAAAAATCTACTTCTTTTCAACTTACATACGCAGTTTTTTTTGTGTTGGTTTGTTTGTTTTTAGGTAGAGTCTTCCTCTGTTGCCCAGGCTGGAGTGCAGTGGTGTAGTCTCAGCTCACTGCAAGCTCTGCCTCCTGGGTTCAAGTCATTCTCCTGCCTCAGCCTCCTAAGTAGCTGGGACTACAGGTGCCCGCCACCACGCCCGGCTAATTTTTGTATTTTTAGTAGAGATGGGGTTTCACTGTGTTAGCCAGGATGGTCTCGGTCTCCTGACTCATGATCCGCCTGCCTTGGCCTCCCAAAGTGCTGGGATTACAGGCGAGAGCCACCGCGCTCAGCCCATGAAGAAAGTTTCTAACAGGTTCAACTTTGGATTTTTTCACACTTAATATTCTGATTCCTTGTAAAGTGTTAGTTCCTTAGTTCTTTCTCCAGTAAATCCTCTGATGTTTAAATAGTCTTAATTTTAGCCTAAATATTTCTCCACATTTATTGCATCTACAAATTATCTTCTAATATAAACTCTCTAGTGTTTCTTAAGCTGCAGTTTTTGAGCAGATGTTTTTCTACATTTATAGGATTTCGCTCCAATATAAATTCTCTGATGTTGAACTAAGTTTAAGCAACTGCTTCTGTGTCTTCCGCTAGTAAAAAAAAAATGTACACAGTAAGATCCAAGATACAAGTACAGGCACTACAACCCTCTTTATATTTGTATTGTCTGTCTTAAGAACACACTTCTTCGCTTTAATGGCCTATATTTTCTAAAAGGCCTTTCAACAGAAATTATATTTATAATGCTTTTGTTAACTATAAATTCTGATGTCTGGTAAGATGTGAGTAGACATTAATGGCTTTTGTATTTTTATATTTGTACAATTACTCTCACGTGTAAATGCTATCACATGCAAAAAGATATGAACATTGGTAAAAAGTTCTGCCACATTTTTTGTATTTCTAGTTTTCTTTAGTAGTAATTACACACAGTAAGATGTGATGAGAATTTGAAGTCTGCCGGGCACAGTGGCTCATGCCTGTAATCCCAGCACTTGGTGAGGCCGAGACAGGTGGATCACAAGGTCAGGAGATCAAGACCATCCTGGCTAACATGGTGGATCCTTGTCTCTACTAAAAATACAAAAAATTAGCCTAGTGTAGTGGCGGGCGCTTGTAGTCCCAGCTACTCAGGAGGCTGAGGCAGGAGAATGGCATGAACCCAGGAGGTGGAGCTTGCAGTGAGCTGAGATCATGACACTGCACTCCAGCCTGGGGTAAAGAGCGAGACTCCATCTCAAAAAAAAAAAAAAAAAAAAAAAAAAAAGCCAGGCATGGTGGCTCACGCCTGTAATCCCAGCACTTTGGGAGGCTGGGCAGGTGGATCACGAGGTCAGGAGATCGAGGCCATGCTGGCTACACAGTGAAACCCCATCTCTACTACAAATACAAAAAATTTGCCAGGCATGGTGGCGGGTGCCTGTAGTCCCACCTACTCAGGAGGCTGAGGCAGGAGAATAGCGTGAACCTGGGAGGCGGAGCTTGCAGTGAGCCGAGATCGCACCAGGGCACTCCAGCCTGGGCAACAGAGTGAGACTCCATCTCAAAAAAAAAAAAGAATTTGAAGTCTTTGCCACATTTTAAATTTTCATATGGCTTCTCACCAATGTCATTTATCTTATGTTTAGAACAGAGAGGTATGGTTAAAAGCTTTCCCACATTTTTCACATTTGTAGAGTTTCTCTCCATTATGAATTATCTTATGATTAGAAAGGATTGAGGAGCATTTAAAGACTGCCACATTTTTCATATTGGTAAGACATTCCTCCAGTACGAGTTCTCTTATGTTTAAGAATGCTGGAGTACAGCATAAAGGCTTTTCCACATCCTTTACATTTGTATGATTTTATCTCTAGTATGAATTCTCCTGTGTACATAAAGGTTTCCGGACTGTCTAAAGGCTTTGCCACATTCTTCACATGTGTAGGGTTTCTCTCCAGTATGAATCGTCCTGTTTAATTAGGGTTGTGAAGCTATTAAAGGTTTTACGACATTCTAGATATTTATATGGTTTCTCGCCAGTATGAAATCTCTTATGTTTAGCAGAGTTTGATGATGACATAATGACTTTGCCACATTCCTTACATTTGTAGGGGTTCTCTCCATTATGAATTTTCTCATGTTGATTCATGGGTGAGGGCTGTTTATAGGCTTTCCCACATTCTTTGCATTTGTAGGGTTTGTCTCCCATATGAATTTTCTTATGTTCATTCAGGGTTGTGGACCATCCAAAAGCTTTGCCACATTCTTCACATTTGTAGGGTTGCTCTCCAGCATGAATTTTCTTATGTTGATTCAGGTATGAGGACTGTTTGAAGGTTTTCCCACATTCTTTACATTTGTAGGGTTTTTCTCCAGTATGAATTCTCTTATTTTCATTCAGGATTGTGGACCATCCAAAAGCTTTGCCACATTCTTCACATTTGTAGAGTTTATTTCCAGTATAAATGTTCTTATGTTCATTCAGGTTTGTGGATCATTCAAAGGCTTTGCCACATTCTTCATATTTCTAGAGTTTCTCTCCAGTAAAAATTTTATTATGTTGATTAAGATATAAGGGCCGCTTAAAGGCTTTACCACATCCTTTACATTTGGGGGTTTTATCTCCAGTATGAATTATCTTACGTTTATTCAGGACTCTAGAACGTCTAAAGGCTTTGCCACACTCTTCGCATTTATAAAGTTTCTGTCCAGTATGAATTTTCTTATGTTTACTCAGGTATGTGGACCATCCAAAGGCTTTGCCACACTCTTCACATTTGTAAGGTTTATCTCCAGTATGAATTGTCTTATGTTTATTCAGGGCTCTGGAACATATAAAGGCTTTGCCACACTCTTCACATTTATAAGGTTTCTCTCCAGTATGAATTTTCTTATGTTTACTCAGGTATGCGGACCATCCAAAGGCTTTGCCACACTCTTCACATTTGTAAGGTTTCTCTCCAGTATGAATTATCTTATGTTTATTTAGGTCTGTGGACCATATAAAGGCTTTGCCACACTCTTCACATTTGTGGGGCTTCTCTCCAGTATGAATTCTCTTATGTTCATTCAGGGTAGTGAACCGACTAAAGGCTTTTCCACATTCTTCACATGGGTAGGGTTTCTCTCCAGTATGAATTCTGTTATGCTTATTAAGGGTTGCAGATTGTCTAAAGGCTTTGCCACATTGTTCACATTTGTAGGGCTTCTCTCCAGTATGAATTCTCTTATGTTCATTCAGAACTGAGGACCTACTAAAGGCTTTGCCACATTCTTCACATGTGTAGGGTTTCTCTCCAGTATGAATTCTCCTATGTACATAAAGGATTGCAGACTGTCTAAAGGCTTTGCCACATTCTTCACATGTGTAGGGTTTCTCTCCAGTATGAATTCTCTTATGTTTAGTAAGGGTTGTGGACCTATTAAAGGCTTTGCCACATTCCTGACATTTGTAGAGTTTCTCTCTAGTATGAATTTTCTTATGTTTGGCAACGTTTGAGGATGAGGTAATGATTTTGCCACATTCTTCACATGTGAAGGGTTTCTCTTCAGAATGAATTCTCTTATGCTTAGTAAGGTTTGAGGACCTATTAAAGGCTTTGCCACATTCTTCATATTTGAAAGATTTCTCTTCAGTGTGAACTTTACGTTTAGCAAAGTTTGAGAATGTGGTAAAGATGTTGCCACATTGTTCACATATGAAGGGTTTCTCTCCAGTATGAATTACCTTATATTCACTAAAGACTAAATACCATTTAAAGTCTTTGCCACATTCTTCACATGTGTAGGGTTTCTCTCCAGCATGAATTCCTTTATGCTGAGTTACGTCTGAGAACTTCTGAGATGACTTGCCACATTCTTTAAAGTGTTTCTCTCCAGTATATCCTGTCTTATGTTGGTTTGAATTTGAAAATTTACTAAACACTATGACATGTGCATTACACTGAAATATTTTGCTCTGGGTAGTTGACAAGCATTGACTAAATTCATTATAACCTGCTTTCTGTACCTTCTTTTTACAGCCTTTTCTTAATTGTAAATTCTCATGTCCACATTTCTCATATCTTCTCAATATAAGTTTGTGGAATGAATCTTCTATCTCCTGCACTGGCAAAAAGTCTTGGGTGAAATGAGAACACATAGCTGAAAGAAATAAAAACAAACTATCCTGCTTACTAGATTCATATGAATATACTTTAAAAATCTAATATGTAAACTTATACAAAGTACATTAGTAAGATGGCATAACAAAATACCACAGGCCATAATTTCTTCACAGACATACACATGTAACAAACAAACATATACTGATCAAAATGCCTTTTAGTGAAATCTACAAATGAGTTACATGCAATGCCTCAGGTAAGCACAATGCGAAGAGCCACATAGAACAGGAAGGAAGGTTTGTTACATTTAGCAACCACAGTTCTTCCTCCTCCCCAATATAGCACTGTGCCATTAGAAGTAAACTGTCAACTCCTGTCTTCTTACTTAGAAGAAAAATACACGTATCCTTACTTCTGGCTTTTGGGGATCTTTCAAAAACTGGTTTCTGCCTCCAATAACAAAAGAATGCTGAAAGAAATGGTGATATACTTTGGAAGGAAAGCTTGGGTCTGCTAAGACCAAATGTACATGTTTCAAGAGCAGACTGAAGTGCTACATACAGACAACAGAGCAAGTGATTAAAGACTCTTAAGAGGAAACATGAACAAACCCTTTTAACTAAAAAATAAACACAAAATTCTAGACAAGACACATCCTTCCAACATGTATGAGAGGTTCCCATAATCTGTATCAAAGACAACTGGCTTCAGACTATGTCAGGACAAAGCAACATTATAAAGGTTGTGATAGCTTTTTGTTAATATTCAAATAACAAGCAAATATTATAATGTATACAAAATATTAGAACATGGGCTAATTAAACAATTTAAAATTTTTCAGAAAACAACATAAAAACAAAGATGTACAAATTTTTAAAATGTAACCTGAATAATGCTGAATAAGCTAAAGGGAAACATACAACAAAATGTAATCAGAAAAATGAGAACATCAATGTAAACGTTAAAAACAAAAAACAAATCATGAAGGTGAAAAATGCAAAATAAAGACTTAGAAATTTTCAAGTTAAAAAAAAGCATGTAGAAAAGGAAGAAGCTCAACAAACTTCAACCAGGTTACACACAGATTTACAGCAAAGCACATACATAAGCAAAGTTTCAAAAATCAAACTCAAAACGGGCATCTTAGGAGCTGCAAAATAAAAGTGATGTGTCATTTATAACTGTGGTCTTCATATAACCAGCAAAACTGTCCTAAAAATGAAGAATAAAGACCTTTCAAGATAACCAAATGCTGAAAAAGTAAACATGTCTTACCAAAACAATGCTCAAGGAAGTATCTTCCCATGAAAATAACATAATGCAAGAAAACCAAACATAATCATATGAAAATACATAACTTTCTGAAAAAGATACGCACATACACAAAGTTCTGTACCACTATCATATTACAGAAAACATTGTAATCTCTAAAATTGTAAAGCCGAAAGCATAAAAATGATCAAACTGTTCATCATAATCTGTTAATAATATATAACAACAATATGATTACTGACATCAATAATGAAGTTGAGGGCAGATATAATGAAGAAGAATTTTCAAATTCAACTTAAGTTTTTACCAGTTTAAAATATATTATTTTAACTTAAAGAAATTTTATGTAATTCTCAAGATACCAGAAAAAAAGTATCTGTATAGATACACCAAAAAATAAGAAGTAAAGGTGTATCAATACAAAAATAAAAAAGACACTAAGGAAGACAGAAAAAGAAAATAACGGACAAAAATAAAATAATCCAGTAAAACAATAAGACGAGTAAGTCTATTTCAGCAAATTATTCAAATATTTATGAAATAAAGTTTCCATTCAAAATACATACACCAAATAAGGGGATTGATTGCCAAAATTAAAACACAAGATCCAACTTGCTTTTCTACAGGAGTCACTTGAGATGTAATGATTTTAAAAAGACTGAAAAAGGCAAAATGAAAAGATATTTCATGCAAATAACCAAATAAGAGGTCCAAATTATGTAATACAAAGTACATCTTAAGTCAAAACTGTCCTATTTCATAAAATATACTTTAAAAAGTCCTAAGAGCGGCCAGGCGCGGTGGCTCAAGCCTGTAATCCCAGCACTTTGAGAGGCCGAGACGGGCGGATCACGAGGTCAGGAGATCGAAACCATCCTGGTTAACACAGTGAAACCCCGTCTCTACTAAAAATACAAAAACTTAGCCGGGCGAGGTGGCAGGCGCCTGTGGTCCCAGCTACTCGGGAGGCTGAGGCAGGAGAATGGCGTGAACCCAGGAGGCGGAGCTTGCAGTGAGCTGAGATCACGCCACTGCACTCCAGCCTGGGCGACAGAGCGAGACTCCGTCTCAAAAAAAAAAAAAAAAAAGTCCTAAGAAAGAAGGACATTAAACAATAATAAAATAATAAAAAGGTTCATTTACTGGGAACAAATGACAAATATGTGTACACATGTTAATATGTGTGTCTCTCCCACATTGAGTTCCAAATATACAAAGTCAATACTGACAGAATTAAAGCAAGACAAAGAGAGCAATATAATTATAGTAGGATATTTAAATACCCCAGTTTCTGTAAGGAATAATGGAATGAGATAAAATATTCATAAGGAAACAGGAGACTTGAAAGCAGTATCAAACAATTATGCCTAACAGAACTGTAGAGAACACAGCTCAGCAACAACTAAATACACACCCTTCTGAATAGCTCATAGAATATTCTCCTTGATAGACTGCATGTCAGGGCACAAAAAAAGTCTTACAGTTTTTAAAATTGAAATTTTACAGATTACTTTTAATGACCAAATTGGAATGAGAGTAGAAATAAAGAAAAGTAAACAATTTATATATTTATAGAATTTAAACAACACACACTTAAGCATGCTCTTGTTCAAAGTTTGAAATAATGAGGTCGCCAGGCACGGTGGCTCAAGCCTATAATCCCAGCACTTTGGGAGGTCAAGACCGGCGGATCACGAGGTCAGAAGATCGAGACCATCCTGGCTAACATGGTGAAACCTTGTCTCTACTAAAGATACAAAAAAAAAAAAAAAAATTAGCAGGGCATGGTGGCAGGTGCCTGTAGTCCCAGCTACTAGGGAGGCTGAGGCAGGAGAATGGCATGAACCCAGGAGGCGGAGCTTTCAGTGAGCCGAGATCACCCCACTGCACTCAAGCCTGGGCAACAGAGCGAGATTCCATCTCAAAAAACAAAAAACAACATTATATAATTACACCAATAAGAATATAAAAATCAGTCAAAATTATAGAAATAGTAAAATGGTGTTCATCAGAAGCTGAAGAGAAAAAAATGGCAGTTTATTGTCTATAGGGTATTAAACTTTACTTTGATAAAATTAATCTAGAGATCCATTTCAAAATAATGTAAATGTACTTAACTCCACTAGACTGTACACTTGAAAACTTTTAAGCAATGTTATGTTTTTAATCACAACTAAATATTTATATCTACCTAAAAAGGTTATATTTTTGAAAAATCACCTTTAAATAAAAAGTGTTTCTCTCACAGAATAACATATAATCAAACAATAAATAGGTGGTAATTTTTTTACTGTTTCCTTGACTACTCACCTATAAAAGAAAACAGTGATGACCACCAAAAAAAAAAATGTATAAACCAGGTAGAAGCATTATTTACACAGGCAAACACCACATAGATAACTTTTATAGGCTATAGAAATGTCTGAATTATACATATATTTTAAATTGCTCCAAGTGAAACCCAATGATTTTTATTTGAATTAACCACCACATGGTCATAAAAGGTACAGAGTTGAAAATTACTATAGAAATATGAAGATTAAAAACAAAAAAAGGAAATAATTGAGGAGAACCTACATGAAAAAAAGAAAGACTCCCCAGTAAAATAGTTTGAGGAATAAAAAATTCTGACCTATAAAATACAGAATATAATATAGATGTAGCATAAAAACAATCCTTTAAACAACTACAGTTTTCAACTGTGACTATGTACTTATGAAGATCTAGCATTTTGAATCTTTGACATGCAATGTACAGCAGTTAAAAAAAAAAATGGATGGTCGCAGTGGCTCACACCTGTAATCCCAGCACTTTGGAAGGCTGAGGCAGGTGGATCATGAGGTTAGGAGTTCAAGACCAGCCTGACCATCTCTACTAAAAATACAAAACAAAAAAATTAGTCGGTGTGGTAGCACATGCCTGTAATCCCACCTACTCGGGAGGCTGAGGCAGGAGAATTGTTTGAACCCAGGAGGCAGAGGTTGCAGTGAGCTAAGATGGCGCCATTGTACTCCAGCCTGGGCAACAATAGTAAAAAATTCTGCCAAAAGAAAAAAGAAAAAAAGCAGCAGCAGTTATGTCCTGAAAAAGGAAATTTATAGGAGCTTTGGAATCCATGTCAAGGGCTGTATTGAAAAGGCATGCCCTTGCTTGAGTGGCATGCTTGCCCATCACGGTCCCAGCTACAGAAAAAATATGTCCAATTTTCACTGTAGACTTAGCTGTAGACCATTTGGTTTTGTTCCTGCCCCTAGCACCATCTGTGAAGACACCTAGGAGAATTTATAATGTCCTATGCCTCAGGTGAAAGGCCTTTAGAAGCTGGTTTTATCTGTGATCTGTGAATTAGCCCCAAATCCACCCTTTGCACATGTCAGTCATGGTGTGGAAGAAATCCTGCCCAGACACTCACAGACAGAAACATCCATCTGTGCCCCTGGATGTAGGCTTGCCAATAATTATTTGACAGTGGATCTTGACGTGGCACTATAACCTGGCTCCAAGTCCATGCAACCAAGTCCAGAAGAAGTTTTTCCTAACCTGGGACCTGCCAAAAAGCACACGTATATGTGCTCCTTTAGGCATGCTGGCTGACTTCATTCCCACTGTGAATTGTGAAGCAGTCCTATAACCAAGCTCTGGTGTCTGTCATCTAGAGTCTGGAAGAAGTCCTACCCACCTAGAAATCCAGAGGGAGAAATGCCATGAACCCAGAAACAGACCTGAAGACTTTGGTCTCAGTTATGTATCCTGAAGCAGCCCTAT